TGCCTATACTGCCTATGCTACGGGCTAACTCTGCTCTGCTGCTTGAATCACCCGCTTCGGATGTCATTATCCATTGAATGGACGTTATTAGCCGTTATCATTCCCATAGAATGGCTTCAGACTGTCAGCTGGTTAATATGAGGCATAAAGCCACTAAAGTTTTTTATGCAATCTGGTTAATATGAGGCATAAAGCAACTAAGGTTAATTTTAGAGAAAATGACCTGGGCTATGATAAAGTAGACCGGACTCCGGCGGTAGCAGATTGTTGCATTCCAACGTATATGGCACTGGTAACCCACTAGGGGGCACTGTTGGGACAGTCTGAAGCCATTCTATGGGACTGATAACTGCTAATAACGTCCATTTAATGGACTGATAATATCTGAACCGGCTACCTGCCCTGTATCAGACTATTCTGGGCCTGGCTATCCACAAAATGCATTGGTGTGAGACTCAGTTGGCCACAGTATGGATCTCAGACCTCAGAACTAAATCTTTAGTGAAGCGTGATGGTTTCGCTGTAGCGTGTTTTACAGTGCATGAAGAAAAAAAGGATGGTTAGCAAAGAGAAAAGATGAGCTGAACAAAAACTACCTTCTGTTTCTGAAACAACTGGTGTTTGTTGGAGTGTGTATGACAAAGTTGTGTTATTTACAGCCAAAGATGGTCATAATCACTTGATCAGTGTGTCCATAATGTTATTTCTTGTGCCAGTAGTGACCACTTCCTTTTCCAGCACATTAGCTTGGTCAGAAATAGCAATGTGTGACACTGAACAAGACTATGTCAAGTCGCCTGAGGGACTCATGACTGACTTAATGTTAAAAGAGAAGTGTTCAGTGTGATTCAACAGAGTGTTTTTGTCTAAGCTGAGGGCAAAATTAGAATTTGGTAGAAAAACCCTCCCAATAAAGTTSTCAAAAAGAAGAAATTGTGTAAACTTTGCGTCTTAGAAAGTCTCCTTGCTGTCCATAAAGATGTTCTAATGGTTAAGAACATTTATTAGAACAAACAGCAGGACTCATTGTCACAAATAACTTTATTAAACAGCCAAGGAAAACAACTTTTCCCTTCTTATGCTCCTCGGTGTCCTGCTCATGTAGCTGTGCTGTAACAGTAAGTCTATGTGTTCGCTGGAGCTCCATGGTTGGATCAGAACCAGAAAGGGCTCATTCAGGAGTGAAGTCTAAACACTAAGACCTCCGTGTTTTGCTCAGACAGACAGAGGAGGGGAGATTATCCCTTCGAGGGTCTCTCCAATGCTGCTATTCAACCCCTCTAGACTGGATAAGCATCTTTGATACAACTCTAACGCGTGTTAGACCTAAAAAAACACAAACGACAGATTATTTACGTCAGCACATTTCCAGTCCAAAACACTAAAACAAGCCATAAGACATGTTTTCCATTAACTGTATTTAATAACTATTAGAAGCAGATATGCTATAAAGCAATAATTGAGGCGGTCAGGGTGTGGTTGTTCGTGATTATTGAAGTCTATGGATTTTCCATAAGAGAGGGCTGAAGAAAAGGAGGAGGGGGTGGAAGGATGAGGCAAAGACAGAGACATGAARGAGGGGGGAAGAGTTTGACTTTGAGGTTTGGATGCAACTCAGAAGAAATTCCCAGTGAAATTACTGACTGACGCTGCAGCTCGACTGGAGACATTGGCTGAGGTTGGCCAAGGCCTAAAGAGAGAGAGAGAGAGAAAGTGAGGGACACTCCCTGTCTTTTCTTCTTTTTTAACCTCTTTTTCTCACGAACATCTGAATCCAAAATGAAACAAAACAAATGGATTTGTGCTGAATCGAGCAGGTGTTCAATAAACCTTAAAAAGYTCAACTTATGAGCACAAGAAGTTCAAAAAGTCTAAAATATTGAAACAGTTTCATGTTTAACAGTGCTTGCAGTTGCCTCGTGGGCTTTTTTCCCCCCTTTAGACTAAAAGGCAATGAGTGTAGAAGAAACTTTGTGGGAAAGTGTGGGGCAAAGCCACTGGGCACTGGTTCAGACGTCAAACCAGCACCGCGGTGAAACAAGTTTCCAGGGGAAAGTCAGGTCAAACTTTAGCTCAGAACCTGATGAACAACACAAAGTGTGGGCAGAAAAGGTTCAAATAAATGAAAGTATTGTGCAAGTTAAGGGTTTAACCACAGTTAATAATGAACTCAAAGGGTTTTTTTCACACTAGTTTCTGTCTCACGGGGTTTTCTGACACCTGCATTCTTTAGCTAAAGTTATTTTTTTCATCAGTTTCACCCAGTCCACACACTCACTGGAACAATTGTGGTTGGCTGAATAATGTTTGAGTTCAATAATTAAATGGGAGACTTGCCAGGTGTTTGACAGTGATGTAGCCTCGGGCTCAGAGATACTAAAAGCAGAGGGAGAAGTTATTTAAGAGCTTGTTTTGGTTGTCTGTGCGGAATGTGTTGTTTTTTTTTTATTTGCTGCAGCCACATAAAATAACTTCCTGAACTTGTAGTCCTTGTAAATGTTTATACCGAACAGTTCCTAGAATTTGGTTTGTCAACAGAAAAATCAGCTAGTATGTGAAACGTTTCACCTGTTTCTGTTTTTCTTAAACTAAAACATGATTTTCCATGGTTTTATTCTTGTTTATATGTCTCTCCAGTCATGGCTGCAGCAGTATGGTTACCTGCCCCCAGGGGACCTGAGGACCCACACCCTTCGCTCCCCTCACTCCGTSTCTTCAGCCATTGCCACAATGCAGAGGTTCTACGGCCTCACAATCACAGGGACCTTCGATGACGACACCGTCGAGTGAGAACCTCAGAACAGCTTTGTTACATTTGGAYCAAAAATAAATAGCTGCCATTGTACATCCAACCATTTTTGTTTTTAGTTTCATCAAGTTCCATTCAGTGGTTCATTTCAATATTTTGCTAACAGACATTCGTCCATTTATTTTACCCACATTGGATTTCCAAGTAACAGAAGAGCTGGTGTCTATCTGTAGCAGTGACACCCTGGACAGAAAATCTTGATCTATCTATTTGCATTCAGAACATGCTACTACCAGTTAGAGCTGTTCTTGCCTTTGCCTACATTGATTATCTGTGGCAGCCATCTTAAACTGAGCTTACCCCAAATGTTACAGAGTTATAGAGGGTGCATTCAGTGGTTACTCTCTGAGAATTTCAGAAAATCTGTCATCATGCTAACTCAACAAACAGACACACAACCAAAATTACACGATCCCCTGCTTTCCGTGATGARGAGTGGTAATAAAAGTTGTATTTTTTTGACACTGTTGAGAGCTGGGTTTGTTCTTCYTCTTGCAGGGCCATGAAGAAACCACGCTGTGGAGTGCCAGATAAGTTTGGAGCTGAGCTGAAGAGCAACCTGAGGAAAAAGCGCTATGCTGTCCATAACCTAAAGTGGCAAAAGAAGGAAATCACTTTCTCGTAAGTCCACAAGTTTATCTTCMTAGCAAATTGACAAATATGAGAAAATCCAAGTTGCTTTTTAAACAGAAACTACTGAGTGCTAATTTTGTTGAAAAGGATATGCTTTTAAAGCTAAAATAGCAAAATACTAAACTGAGTGCTAAAAGAGCTAACTAGCTTAGAGTAATAAAGCGATAGCTACCCTGTTATTACATTTAGTTAAGTGTAGGTAAAGGCTAGTTAAAAGTAGCAAAACAGTAGCTAAAGCAGCAAAAGGTAGCTACAAAGGTAGTAAAATGGATAAGTGGATTGAAGTTCAAAGGTCAAAAGTAAAAAAGTTAATCTAAAGGTAGCAAAAGGCAAGTTAAAAGCTAAAGCAGCACGCTAGAAGCTTTAAAATAGGATGGGAAAAGCCAAATAAAAAGTTTTAAAAGACTAGCTTATAATATAATAGGTTAGCTAGAGGGTAACCRTAGCAGCTTGCTAAAATCCAAAAGTAACAAAAGACTAACTAAAAGCAAAAACTAGTAAAATATTATATATTTAATATATCAAAATACTAGCTAGAAAGTAAAGGTAACAAATGGCTGGCTAAAATCTAAAACTATAAAAAGGCTAAAAGTTTATAGTAGCAACAGAAGACAAAACTAGATCAAGTGCACTGAAGCAGATTTTTAGAGACAAATGTTTTTGAAGGGATTGAAAGGTCTCAACATATTTTGTGGGGAAATATTTGCAAATTATGTTAAATATTTTGAAACATATACAAAGTTCAAAAATCAAAAGTCATCTGCTTCTTTTGCTCCATGTCTTGTACCAGATGAAGGTTTTGATACATAAATAACAGAAATAGCAAGAAGTATGCAGAAGCAGAAGTAGTTAGCAAAAAATTAAAACACACACCAAAAGAAAGCAACTGCGTGGATGCTAAAGAGTTTTGTTTTTCTCCCCTCACACACACAACCTTCATACTGTTCAGCATACAGAACTACACCCCCAAGGTGGGCGAGCACGAGACCCACGAGGCCATCAGGAAGGCCTTCAAGGTGTGGGAGAGCGTCACTCCGCTCCGTTTCCGGGAGATTCCCTACAGCTACATACGAGACAAGGTGGAGGAGTTTGCAGACATCATGATCTTCTTTGCGGAGGGTTTTCACGGTGATAGCAGCCCGTTCGATGGTGAGGGGGGCTTCCTGGCACACGCCTACTTTCCCGGCAACGGCATTGGCGGAGACACCCACTTTGATGCAGCCGAGCCCTGGACAGTTGGAAACCAAGACCTGCACGGTGAGACTCTGTTGTGACACKGAGTTTACAGTAAACGAGACATTTTATTGCTTCAGAGGCGTTTTGCCTAAATGTTGGGAACTGTTGCATGTTCAGAGTCTGGGCCAAAACCTGGGACAAGTTCAGGCTGGTGTCAGAAAATCTGAGGCCTGCGTGAATGTGCTTATTTTTTAAAGTGCAGCAACCACAGAAATGTGCATTGTCAGCTTTTTCGAGTCAAACACATCTCCACATGACTTCAGGCCAATTTTAGTTTTGATTCACTGATGTGCTTTTGAGTCACGTTGAAATTTCCCAGTTCTGTATTTTTTGTCTCATCAGCGTAAACATTTTACTCCTTAATTAGATTAGATGAACCTCTACAACCGAATAACTTTTAAATTCAAAAGTTATATGATTCAAGACGCCTCCACAGCTAATAAAACATATGGAGCAGAATAGTGGCTATAACTCAGCCATTTTTACAGAAACTAAGCTGAAAGGTGGTGTGGTAGTAGCTGAGAGTCAACACATAGCTAAGCGCCAAACATTGGGCAACATCCTTGTTTAAAACTTTGGCACTGACCACTATATTCAGCTCTGTCTTTCTGTGAAAAAAGGTTATTATAATTCACTGGATTGACTGGAACTAAACTCTAATTTATAGATATTAAGCTAATATTTAACCAAGGGTCATTCTTAACACCTACTTTAAGCTAACACATCTTGTGATCTTGTAATTTGGCATGAGGCCCCAAATATACAAATCCTGACCAAACTCTGTCTCAGTGAGTGTTGCAATCCTTTTTGGGAATGCTACTTTTATGTTAATTTTTTTTTAATTGTACGGTTGTAGGTAATGATGTCTTCCTTGTGGCGGTGCATGAACTGGGTCATGCTCTTGGTCTCGAGCACTCCAGTGACCCTTCAGCCATCATGGCTCCCTTCTACCAGTGGATGGACACGGAGAACTTTCAGCTTCCCGATGATGACCGCAGAGGCATACAGCAAATTTACGGTTTGTTGGAGTCACCTATCAAAATGATTCTTTTCACCACAAAAAAGTGTTCAGTCTTCAGAAAGTCTTATCCAAAACCACAGTTTAGGTTCGGTCTCCTAATGCAGGGGTGTCAAACTCATTATCACATAGGGRCACATGAGCATTATGGTGGCCCTCAAAGGGTCAAGGGTTGTAATTAACATCAACGTTTCATGTTTAACTTCTACTAAACATAAAACCTCACGTTCCTTGTCTCATTGCTGCAGCTGAGCAGTAAACATAATAACTGAGCTCTACGTGGTCTTTCCTGCATAGAAACAGCATTTTAACCTGTCTTCTTATAAACATTGAAAAGTACTATATGAACGACTGACTAAATGTGAAATAAAAACAGAAATAAAAGTCAGAGAGTCTGACTCACTGTTGGGTTGTGGTAAGTAGCTGCCGTCTTGAATTCTGAACTCTCCCACTTTCCTACAGGGAATTCCCACTTGAGGGATGTTTCTTTTAYGTGGGAAATTCCCACCTTCCAGTAAAACTGGGAAAGTGCAGCAAAAATGATGATTTTACACAAACCTTGTGCACCTTCACCCAGTGGTGGGATGCCATCATTTCACGAGTAAAATAATCAACATGCATTATGGGAGATGCAGTTTATGTGTCAATGCTTTTAAGCAGCATACATTTATTTTAAAACATCTTAAGCTTCTGCAGGCCACATAAAATGCCGTGGCGGGCCACATTTKGTGAGCYGGCCTTGWGTTTGACACGTGTCTTAATGAATTATAATTTGCTCTTGTCTGTTTAGGGTCTGGTTCAGATCTCCCACTCCCTCCTGTAACGCCACGCACACCTGACCACAACCCTCAACCCACTAACAAGCCTCACTTTGGCCCCGACATCTGTGACGGTCACTTCGACACTATCGGCATCTTCAGAGGGGAAATGTTTGTGTTCAAGGTGAACTAACAGGAGAATWTTCTAACTCTGATTTAATTTAGTTTATTCAGCTGACTGATTGTAATGTTCTCCTTCTTTTTAAATTTTAGGATAAATGGTTCTGGCGAGTACGTAACAGCCGTGTGTTGGATGGYTACCCCATGCCGATTGGACACTTTTGGAGAGGACTGCCCACTCATATTAATGCTGCATTTGAGAACGAAGAAGGAAAATTTGTTTTCTTTAAAGGTCAGTCTAATTTTAGTATATAGATGAAAATCTCTTCTGTTTTTAAGCAATCAACATCATACCTCTCTTGGTTCCTTTTGTCGTGTCACAGGGGACAGGTACTGGGTCTTCAGTGAATCTATTTTGGAGTCTGGTTTCCCCAAGAACCTTAAAGAAATGGGCACTGGGGTTCCCAAAGATCGAATAGATGCTGCCCTCTACTACACCCTCAACGGAAAGACGTTTTTCTTCCGAGCTGACAAGTAAGTCGTCATTTTTCATTTGAGTATGGGCAGATGTGTAGGCATTCAACAGAAAACTATGTATCAGAACAATTCACAAGTTCTTTAGAGCTTAACTACGATTTAATGCAATTAACTTATCTTCAAATCCTAAAAGTGGTCGTTCGGATTTAGCTTGTTGAGGAGAACTGTAAGTCGGAGCTTCGGTTTTATGAAAAAGTAAATCAAATAAATAAAAAAGTATCTGCTTTTTACGAGTCTAATTTAAATGTACACAAATCAAAGATCCATTTCTAGTCTACATGTGTGATGGAGAGGACTGTTAGTCGGTGCTGTAATGTGTTAATTACATTTACTTACCATTCCTCTACTGTTCCTTTTTCCAGGTATTATAGTTTCATTGAAGAATCACGAAGAGTTGATGATGGTTACCCAAAATCTATTAGTGTCTGGCAGGGTGTACCTGAAAACGTCAAGGCAGCCTTTATGAGCAAAGATCAAGGTAAGAATGGGTCGATGGCTAATGTCAGGTTGTTGATACTGGKTGTAGCTTTTCTTCTTTTCACATTTCTTTCTTTCACCTATCAGCGTACACCTACTTCTACAAAGCCAACAAATACTGGAAGTTTGACAACCAGAGGATGCGTGTGGAGCCTGGGTATCCCAAATCAGCCCTCCGTGACTGGATGGGCTGCCCTAACGAAGACCCCAAGACCGATGGAGGAAAAGGAGGCGGCAGACACGACAAGGACAAGGAGAGGGAAAAGGACAAGAACAAGGACAAGGAGAGCAACGATACTGACCAAACTACAGACGAAGAATGGGACAYAGAGAAGGAGACAAAGACAGAAGACGTGGACGTGACCATTATCGAGACGAATCAGGGAAGCGGTTCGGTCGCCGTGGTTGTGCCGCTGTTTTTGCTAGTGTGTGTGATTGCCACTTTAGCGGCCTTGGTGTTCTTCCGCCTGTACGGTACCCCACGCCGAATCTTGTACTTCCAAAGATCGCTTCTGGACAAGGTGTAGACGGAGGGACGGAGGAGAAAGACAGGGAGAGAAAGAGAAGAAAGTGGGAGGAAACGATGAGCGCAGATAGCCGAGCAGGAGAGAAAACGCAGAAGTGTGAGACTTCCTCCGAAAACTATTCTTACCACTGCCAGATTTAATCGACTGTATTTCTCAACCACTCAGTCCTTCAGATATTTCTTCTTCCTTTGACTCCGCCCTCTCCCCCTCTCCGGTGGTAACTGACGCCAGCTCCTCGCTGTTTGTTTTAGCCTTTTTCAGTGTTTCGTTCTTAGTTGTTTATTATGGTCAACCTTTGAGTTCTCGTGAATTTCCAAATCAAACCAGCATTTCCACAACTTTTTTACGTGAGCTAAAAGTGCCCACCCACGCACCGCTCGTCCTCTTCTTAACAGGAACAAACTCACAAACACATCCTCCTGAAAAACACAGTGACACAGCTACCGTGTTTCCAGTAAACCAACATACTGGAGCCAGTTTGGACCATAAAAGGAAATTCAAGTGTTTGCTGACATTTGTGGGAAGTTTGAGATTAACTCATATCAGAGAAAAGCAATAAAAACACATTTTTGCCCCTTTTTTCTCTCAAATTTTTGTCTATGATTATTATTATGAATGCTGTCGTCATTAGCATTATGACTGTTACTATTATTGTTGTTGTTCTCTGAGTAAAGAATGTTAATGTATATTGTCATTAAAAAGTCCTGCTGGACAGAGACACACACTTTTGAAAATGGCCTTAATTTTATATATGTGGGGACAGTGAATGGGGAAAAGGGGTTATGTATTGAAACTTGATTGTTTTTTTATACCTTGAATCAATTTCAAATGAAAAATAAATTGAAGATCTAAGAAAATGACTTCTTTTTGTCATTCTATTTACTTTTGTACTTGATTTTTTTGAAACTATGGTGCTGCATTGCTAGCCAGGAGCTTTAGTTCAACAACGATAATAATACTAGTGATGATGACAATAATGACAACATTTTGGTTTTCTTAACAAAAATGTGTGTACTTTCTTTTTCTTACAAGAATAAAGCACGTTTCAAAAGGTTTTCAATTTCACTAAGCAAACTCTTTTTTTTTCTGCCACATTTAATACTTTCAGCTTCTTTACCTTAAGCTCTTGCATCGATTATGCCTTTTTTCCATCTGGTCTTCCCCCGTCTCCCTGGACCTCCAGGATTCTTGTTCCCCGACCGCACCACTGCATTACTGGGGCTCAGGAACTGGCAGGTCCTAAACTGGGTCGGAAAATGCAGACTGGATCCAAAGCTTAAGTAGAAACAGAGATGAGGACGATTGTATAAACTCGTTGCTGCACASAAGGAAAACATATCCAAACTATACAATCTGTGTGTGAGAGAGAGTTTTACCATACTTATGAGGCCCATGGGCTAAAGCTGTGAGGACACTGAAGCTAAATGGTCACTATTCTTTTCTTTAAGACTTTATGTTTGAAGTTTGATGGTAAGTGTACACATTAATTTTAGCTCAGTGGGTGAATGTGCTAAATGTCCTCAGAATTATAGCAAAACAGACAATTGTTGATGCAACTATAAATGCTTTAATTTGTGCATTATGCTCAGAGTAMTCATACCCTATAATTCACAACAAGCCAATAAAAGCTGCAACAGCAGATTTTGGGCGTCCATTACCTTCCTAATGATCCCACTCCCCTACCAACAGCCACATGCAGTAAAGCTAAAGGTGGGTGGGGGGGGTCAACACTTCTATGACAACCCATGATTACAGAAATTGGGCTTCATGCAGTTAAGTTGATGAGGTATGCCCAAGAAACAAACAAAAAAGATTTAGGGCGCTCATTTGTTTTGAGTTTGCTGCAGTGTTTTGAGGAAAGGAGAGGAGTCACGAGGATTTGTGTGGGAGGGGAAGGGGGAGTGAGGGGGTTTAGTCACATTTGGAGGCCAGAGATGGAGCAGAATTTCATGAGCAACATCTGGAAATCTGACTGCATCATGTGAGCCAGACACACAGCGGGATGTAGAGATGAGGTGGTGGGGGATGGGAGGTAGTTTAGATTTGTTTAATTACTCTTTTTAATGTTTCAAAGGAAATGAGAATAAAGGATTCATAATTTCTCAGATTCTTTCTTCTGTGAAAATAATTTAGCCCACATTTTTGTTGTGCACTATTTCTCTCCTTTTTCTTTAAATCTTCACTCACGTCTGTGGCTTANATTATTTTTTTATCTGTCCCAGCTGACTCTGCAGAGCAGAGAAAAGAGTCGCTTCAGCAAAATTCTCCCCCCACAAATTCCCTTCTCTTCTTTGTGTGTAARTGGAGACCTTTTCTTCACTGTCCAGGAAATGACTCTTTTTTTTTAAACAAAGCTGAACAAAAGACCACACCACAATGTGCAGGCCTTCTTTTAGCCGTCTCCACTACTCACGCTCACATTTCAACCAGATAACAGCCTTGTTTTCCAACAGTGTCACATGTTAAAAACAGAATTCGTTGTATAATTAAAGAGCCAAACTGTCCTGACAGTTCTATTASAAACCGAGGAGACAAACAGCGGTGGATTTAAAATAGAGAAAATCATTCTCTTTGATATTTAGCTGCTCAAATTTCAAGATTTTGTTCATAGATTTGTATTTTTTGTTTCTTATTGTTTGATTTTGCATCCTATGTTTTCAGTGAATAGCCACGAGTTTCAGGCACGACAATTTTGAACATCTAAACTCTTCTCTACAAACTCGACTTGTAAGATCATAGTTAGTCGTCGTTTTGCTGAGAATAAAGCTAAATCTTATCCAGGAAAAGAAAGTTGAGTTTTAAATTTTCTATAACCAAAGAAGAGTTGACATCTTTGCATCAGCTCACCTTCGGTGATATCAGGTCCCGGAAAATCAACAGTTTTCAGAAACAGATATATATTTTAAATGTTGCAGAATAAAGCGATTTAAATGTGTGCAGTGAAACATAAATGTTTAATTTAGCAAATTAATATAGTTTTTCCTTTAGTCTAATATTGGATTGAAGGTTTTTAGTTTACACATCAACCCAACTTTTTTTGAAGATATAAAGTTCCTCCTGCTAATACCAAGGTTACTTCCTTTTGTTCATTTTTATCAAAAGGCGACATGAGGTAAACACCCTCAGTGCCCTTTAAGTCATATCTAATGAATAAAGGAAATTCTCATCATAGATCTTTACCCATGCTTCCTGCARCGTTTCCTGCTTTAAATGATTTCAGTTATCCATTAAAATGTCAAGCATACACCCTTCCATACAATCATTTTCTCATCCACTAATCTTAATTCATATTTTAGGTCAAATTCTCCTCAAAGGTCGTCATCAACTCCTGTATGTGTTTCCCTGGGTTATATACTTCCTGTTCAGCTTCCTGCTTTAAATGGTCTACAGGCTGATGAACATACCCCCCAACAGGGGAAGTCCCGTTCTCACTCATTGTGCTCAGAAACTGGATGACCTAAACTAAAACACAGAAGAGGGCTATTGTCGTGTCATAACGTTTCTGCCTAGTGACAAGGATGTGAGGTAATGGAAAGGTGGGGACTGGTGGGTGGATATAAAGGATACACAAGGTTTTTATAAGCATGACTTCTCTCCTCTACATCCTGCAGCTCTTCTAATCCATCAGACAAGAACAGAGAAATGAACCGTCTTTTTTTTTACACTCATAACACAAACTGAGGGTAAAAGCAGGGGAGCACACATGTGAAATGGTTGACTTTAGCTTGGGAGCAAAATATTTTGAGCTATGTGAGGAAACTGTCTGTACAGCAGGGCTGGCCTGATTAGATTTACTAAATTTTATGTTTTTGATCCCCTGTCCTGATTCTTCTCCTCACATATTAGACTTCACCATGAGCATATTGAACATTAGAATTAAAACATTAGAATATTGTGAAAAATGTAAACTATGTAATTTTCAATACATACATAGCAGATGGACAGATGTCATTTCTGTCCTATCCCCTCTAGACACATTTTAGGTCATGAGAAGTCTCTTAAAAGGTTTTTCTGAGAGAGAAGAGCAATTTTCTAATTTAAAATTAAATAATATACATAAGGTGAAAACGGGCATTCATTTTGAACTTACAGGAATTTTTCTCTGAGCTTCACGCAGACCACTAATTGGTTTACATTTCATTTGTGCAACATGTTTTAAATTAACACCTACTCATCATTTGTCCGAACTTTAATATCCTCAAGCTCTAGTATGCAATCTGTGGTTACTAATGACATATCTTTTTTGTCTTTTTATTGGCTAAGTTAGCTTAAACACCATTTAATTTTGTGTCTGAACTCAGACGATTCTTTTCAAATGAGTAATGACGATTGTGGTTTCACATAGATGATACGACAGTGAACATGTCCTCACAAGAAGGATAAAAGAACCTGTACCTGAAGAAACACTCAGCCTCACTTGACTAAACAGCTGCTATTCTGCAGATAGAAAACAGTCCTTGTGAAGTCAGCAAACCTCTGCTTCCTGTCATGACTTGTCTGCTGCTGCTTATTGCAAATTTCATCCTTATTTTAGGTACCATGCGTCACAATTATACTTTAGACCAGGGGTGCCAAACACAGAGGCAAAATACATCTATATTTACTGAATATTTGTTTTAATTAATGCTATGATTTAGAATTAATACATCAAATTAACCAATAGACCCTAAAACAATTCAGAACAAACTAAACTTTTGGAATGTATTAGAAAAAACATTATAGCATTCATTTCTTACGGATTGCTCTGTCAGCAGTTTTTCTTTTTAACTATAGAGTGAGTCAAAAGTCACAGGACGACCTTTTATTCCAGAAAGAATGGGGAAAATGACATTTCTGAATACCCCAAGAAGTAAAAACGCAGCTTTTAGAACATGGCTGCCATCTTCAAAGCTGCCATATTGGATCAAGGGACGTTTTTCCAAAGATGGACCCATAACTTGGGATATTCAGACATCATTTCCCTCTTTCCTTCTATAAAGGGCTGTCCTGTGACTTTTGACTCACCCTGTATTACATCATCTAATAAATCCCTTTAAAAAAATTCATCCGCACACTACAAAGAGTTTACAGTGAAATAAAAACCGAATAGAGGGGGGAAAAAAGAAAATCTATATTTAAGCCGACTTTGTTGCTGCACATTAAAGCCTAATTCAGATGATTCGGCATTTATTCTTGGCTGCAAGTTTATAAGCTGGATGTTCTGTGTTGCTCTTGTTACATAAGAAATAAAAGATTACAGAAGAGTTCAAACTTTATTTTCTGGGCTAATTGCCACGAGACGTCTGCATCAAGAAGGTTGAAGCCTTTGAAGCAAATGAAATGTGAGAAAAGTCTTAATCTTTCCTAGATTAGCTGACTGTTTAACACATTTTTATTGTTATCTAACGGCCTGATAAAATCAAGAGTAGGGCCACATCTGGCCTGCAGGTCATCAGTTTGATGTGATTTTGCAAGATGTTTTTTTTTTATTTGCTGGAATCACAAACCCAGTAGAAGAGAGAGGAATTATTAGTCTGCATGTCATTTTTTTCCATTTAGGAACACATGGAATGATGTGTGGAAAAAAAACCTAATCTCATTATTTAAACATATTTCTGTCTTCCCCAGAAGCTCAAATATCAGTGTTTCTTATAGCAGCTGTTTGGTTTGAGATCTTTGCTGTTTTAGCAGTGTAGGCTGGCCCGTCTCTGCTGAATCTGCTGGAAACCTTCAGTTTAAAGCTACACGCCTGCTTTTCTTGCATATCACAAATGTGTGCACTTTGACTCAGGCGTGGTGCAGCAGAAAAAGGCTTGTGTAAACTGGCAGAGGGAGGTAATGCATCAGCGGGGACACACAGGTGCAAAGAACTTGAGCAATGAATATTTTATCATCTTTACATTTTTCTTTCTTTCACCTGACACGGTTTCCTGAGCCGTGGAGATTTTGATCCAGGCTCTTGAAGTTGAGGCTATCCTTCAACAATATGCTCCTCGCTTCACTACAAACATCTAAACGGGCATAAAATCACTGTAGGAACTTTTGAAAACCAAACGTTTCTTGTTCTTTAATCTCACAACAATCTGTTTGGCTTTTCTCCTTCTACTAATGCAGAGATCACATCTGGTTTCCATAACCCACATCTCATCACAAAAAAAAAAAAAAAAAAAAAAAAACACTGGGGGTGAGAGACAGGAAAGGACTTAAAGAAAAAAAGAGAGGGGTGTGTGTAAATATCAAGGGAGCATGGAACTTCAAGTGAGACTGTCTGCCATACTAACTGATGTTTACAAGTTGCCATCAATGATTAATAGCAGATACAAATCATTAAAAAGGAACGAGAGCAGCGGAGGGGAATGCAGTTTAGAAACAAAGCCACAGTTAAAGGAGAATAAGAGCAGAGTCAGTGAGTGCAGAGATCAGAAAGGCCACATCTGAGGTGGACTCTGAAAGCTGAGCTTCGAACACAAACCTTTGTGGCTAAACAGAGAGGAAAGGAGTTAAAGGAAAGAGGGAGGGGGCTGTGCTTACAGAGCGAGTGCATATTGTTTTTACTGCCCACTCACCAGGGCAGAGCGGTCGTGCTCGGCTGACTCACTGGTTGCTACGATGGCTGCGAGAACTGCAAAGAAACGCACAGGTGGTCCCGCTGCCCTCCTGCAGCTGCAAGAGATGCTCATGGAAGAAAGAGAAAGCTCAGAAAACATCGATTTGAGGGATTCTGTCAAGTTCTGTGACGTTCCTCAGAGCTTTGCAGGTCCAGCTCCTCCCGGCCAAGACTAGAAAGCAGCAGCAGATCCTCAGCACATCCAGGTGCTTCAGGTGCTGAGGYTCCAGTGGCGGGATGTAGCAAAGTACAAGCACTTTGTTACTGTACTTAAGTACTTTTTTCATGCATCTGTACTTTACTTAAGTAGATTTAATCATGGGTACTGTCGCCTTTTACTKCACTACATTTTACATTAAGTATCTGTACTTTTTACTACACTACATTTCTGTAATTTGTTGTGTTACAAGTTACATTCATGTCACATTACATTGTTTTGTTCTTTTTGTGCTATCTATGGCGAGAAGGGAATTGCTGTAATTGGTCCACTGAACCACTGCAAAGCAGGAACATACCATTAGACCCTGCATCACCTGCTGGAGCATCAGCGACACTAACACACCCAAAATGGCTTCCACCTCGGAGAGTCAGCCAGAGGACATCATGGCCTTATTTAAAAAACTTATTCAAGCTCACCAGTTCCACAAACAGCTCACTGAGATTTGATAGGGGAGGTTGGTAGAGAATTTACAGCTGTCTGTGATGATACACAATCACAAATCAGAGTGTGTACAGTGTCACAGAGGGTAAACACAAAAACATGAAGTATCTGTAGCATTGTTCATTAAAATGGCACACCACTGATGTATTACAAATCTACATACAGTAGGCACATTTTATGATACTGTAGACCAGGTGTGCCCAAATATTTTCCCCGAGAGGGCCAAAATGAAAATCTATCCATGGCTGCGGGCCAAATGCAGTAATATAATACATGAAATATAAATACTTTTTTAAAGTAAAGTCCTTTATTTTTAATGATTAAGCTGTGCAATGGTCCTCTTTTGTTGTAGTCTGTGCACTTGGTTAAAGTCTGCCATACGCTCAAGTAGCAAAGGCTCATGGGACATATCATAAATAGATAAAATATGAGTTTTTGTGGCCTTATAAAGTGTGCAAATCTACATGTGGGGTTAAATCTGATCTAAATATTTCTTGTTGTCATTTCATGTTTCATGTTTAATCCTAATAAATCAAAGATAAAGTCAGCACCAATGACTGAAAACTACCTTCACTACAGCCCTTTATAAAGTCATTTGACTAATGGAAATACTATGTTTCTACATAGGATAACAGGTTACAACCTTGTAACTTTGGCAACTGTTGGTGGGACAAATCGAATGGCTTAGTGGGCCAAATTTGGCCCGCGGGCCCCACTTTGGGCTCCTCTGCTGTAGAACATTAGGGAATACTAAGTAATTTTAATACTGTAAGCATTTTTAAAAGAAAGTACTTATTTTACTCAAGTAAAAATGTTTTTCTTCCATAGTTTCTCTGTAATTTTATTTAAGAACAGTGTTTGAGTACTTTCTCCAGGACTGTGAGGGCACTGTGATGACTGCAACAACACAACCATGCCTTCAGTTAGGGTGAAAGGGTCGCCCTCTATAGGGTTTGCACACAAGTTTAAATGTTCCCAGTCTCTATTTTCAACATTCAAGTAGAAATAATTTCTGTAAATATGCAAAAAAAACTTTAGTAGTTAATTATCTTAACTGGAAAATATCATGTAGAAACATTTCTAGAAAAAAAAAAAGCTTTTTTTAAAACCAGGTTAATGATCCTAACCAGTGTTTAATAAAAGACCTTGCATTACATGACAGAATGCGCAGTGAAGCGTTTTAAAGATTTTTCACAAATGTTTCATTAAAATCCATCCAGTATTTCATGAGGTATGTTGCTAACAAACACATTCACGCACAAACAACAACCTGATCGCCTCGATCAGCATGTTTAATAAAATGGTTACCTCAAAGTAAAAAGCAAAGCTTGCTTTAGGATTTAGTGAAGCCATTAGAATTGTTTTCAATAATCTGCAGTTCTTTAGCATCGATGAAAGGGCCGTTGTTTTCATAAAGTGCCTTYTGTTTCATAGTTACAAGGTGCTGAAACCAGAAAATGTTTTGAGTTTCAATCTTTATAAAAAAAAAATCTTGGAAATAATTCAGTGTATCTGATGAATCTATGTTTAAAATCTCAGATATATTTTCTTTAAAAATTTAATTCATGCCTGGAAAACTCTCAGTAGATTCAATAAGAGTGCTGGTGGATTAAAAACTGATGATTTAAGATTTCACAGTTTTCAATAAAGTTTTATCAACATCCCAACATGGCTGTTGGATGAATCAGAAAGTCTCTCGGATGTGTTTTTTTTAATTATTAAATTTTTTTTGTCTAAAGCTAAACCGTACGTCGACAGGATCTTTTTATGGCTGATAGACATTTGTATTCTAACATAAAGTCATGCTAGGGGATAATATTAATTTCACTTTCAAACGTTTCCACTGGCTCCACATGCCCAGGCTGCAAAACAAAAAGTACTGTAAACTTTAACATGAAGGGGAATTAGATAATAAAGCTGTAGCCTTTGCAAGTTACTGTGTTTTCTCTCAAATGTGTTCTACTCAACTTTCTCTTAATGTTCCTGCCTCAAATTAAGAATCTTAGTTTTCTCTTTCTGTATTTTTACAAACTACTTCTATATATTTTGTGCGAATTCAAACATTTATAGTCAGGAAATAGGTGATCTGTGGTTTGTTTTGTAACTTTCATTCGTTAAAAAATATTTAGCTTTATTTATAAATACTTTCTCTTCTGTAATACGGTGCACCAAAAAAGGTTGCCACACACTAATATTTCGTTGGATCGCCTTTAGTTTGGATTACAGCATGTATTCGCTGAGGCATTATTTTGATAAGCTTCTGCAATGTCACAAGATTTATTTCCATCCAGTGTTGCATTAATTTTTCACCAAGATCTTTCATTGATGATGGTAGAGTCTGACCGCTGCACAAAGCCTTCTCCATTACATCCCAGAGATTCTCCATAGACTCTGTGGAGCCAATCCATGTGTGAAAATGAATCTCGTGCTCCCTGAACCACTCTTTCACAATAAGAGCCCCATGAATCCTGGCATCGTCATCTTGGAACATGGCCGTMCCATCAGGGAAGAAACAATCCATTGATGGAAMAACCTGGTCATTCAGTATGTTCAGGTGGTCAGCTGACCTCATTCTTTGAGCACAGACTGTTGCTGAACCTGGACCTGACCACCTGCAGAAACCCCACATCATAGACTTTAGTTCAATCCAGGTGGAGACCTTTTTTGGTGGCCAGACAGTGTATTTAATATCTCTCCATTTATTTTAAACATATGAAATATGCTTTTGCATCCATCTTTTCTTTTATTAGCTCTCATTTGGCAACATTTAGCTTTAAGCAACCTTTTGCTGTTTAGCTCTGTGCTAGCCCGTTGCAGTTAGGCTCGTCTTTTCCTCATTTTAACTTGCTTTTACTTTGCTTTTTAGTTATTTTTAGCTAATAGTTACTTTTGCCTTTTTGCTAGCGTTTAACTGTTTTTAGCATGTATTTGCCTTGTTCAGCGTTTAGCTAGTGTTTAGCTTCCTTTAGCTTTAACAGCTCAATTTTAGCATCAACAAATTTCAGCAGTCACTCCGTACTCAGCATCGCTGCATTTTTGCAGAAAATGCAGATTTCTTTCGTTTAAATAAGTATCATCCTCCTCCTCTGACTGAGGTCATTGGACATACAAGACTGTTTCTTTCTTTAGAGCTGCCACTCAAACTAAGCCGTCTCACTTTGATTTGTCCTTAAGCGTGACGAAGACGTTAGGAGTAAAAGGTCTGCAGAGTCCAGACACCGAGTTGCATCAGGGCAGAAAAATGTCAGGCTCAGCGACCAAAGGGCTGTAATTACAGAGCAGCAGTGCTGAGCTTTGCAGGATAAAGACCAGAGAGATGGAGCAAAAAAAAAAAAGTAGAGAGAGAAAATATGTGATTTAAAAAAAAAACTGAGTAAATGATCGCAACAGAAAGAAATTTGTTTGTTTTTCCCCCAGCTGAAACATTAACAGAACTAAAGTTAGAGAGCGCCAGTGTTTAATCCATCACCCAAAGACTGAAAGGGGCGGGTGTGTGTGTGTGTGTGTGTGTGTGTAAACCTCTCAAATATTTAAGATGTCCGTTTTTTTAAAGGGTTCAACGTGACTGCAGTAAATATTTTAGCTTGTTCAAAACGTTGAAAGCAAATGCTGTATGACTGACCCCTTGTGGAGTCTGAGCATAACATCCAAGAAACATCAAGGACACCGACTAAAGTTTGGCTGAGATATTTTCAGAAACTTTGATTTTGTAAAAAATAAAATAAAATAAATCCAAGAGCATCAATCAAATCAATCCTCTTCATAGCAGAGAATGAAAAAGAAATATTGCAATCTCTTCAAACTTCAATTTTTATTATTTGTACATTCACCACTGATAGGCGACTCAAAGCAATTAAAAACAAGAAGAAATCTTTGTACTAAAATGATAAAATAACGATTAAAAAACAATATTAAAACCATTGGTGGTAAAGTCATAACGCGATCTCTCCTCTCAGACCTGTACAGACTCTACAGGGCAGGAAGGGAGGAAGATAGATGGGGAGGTGGAGGGGGTGTTAAATGAGGACAATTATTTTTGTAAGGTGTGACAGATTCTCTCCCACCGAGAATGATCTCATCTCCTAACAGAGAAAGAGGAACACTGCATTTATTTCGTAGGCTTTTTTTTTTTTACACATTAGTGAAAATCCCCCACAGCTGCCTTATTTTAAAGACTACTTTTTGAATATTCTTATAGATCTGTACAAAATACCAAACAATTGCAATATTTTCTGATTTCTGCAAGCCACTGCACAGGAGGAAAACTCTTCTTCTGGCAGGATTGGCAAGGGTAGCTTTGTACTACATGCAGCAACAAAAGAACTCCTCGCCAAATCGCTGAGTGTTCGACCCCAAAAGATTCATCCATTATTAACCTGCACACCTACGTTTTGAACAAGTGAGACTTTGGGAGTGAACGAAAAAAAGAAAAAAAAAACGCTCAGCGTGCTGTACTGCTACACGGTCAGGTCAAAAACTGAAGGAAGATATTGGCGAAAGATTAAAAGGAAATTGCCGACAAGACCGAGACGTACAGCACTCTGGATAAAACACTGCAGGAGTCACTGTTTCCTTTAGCGTGACTGTAGGTGTAGATGTGCTTTAAAAAAAAGGTGACTTTTCGAGGGATGGAAACGACATCAATTGGTCCTCTGTTGGGTCTTTGTTGTAAAGTACATGTAGTGAAAGGCAAATGGAAGAGGGTGGTGTCGGGGACAGTTTGTAAGCCTTTAGCGTCTCCTCTCTTTCGGATCGCTTCGGCTGCGTGAGCGGCGAGCTGAGCTGCCTCCTGGTCTACGATAACCATCCCTGCGTTTGTCGTTCTCCCGCTCTCTCTCCCTGTCTCTAATCCTGTCACGGTCTCTGTCTCTACCTCTGTCCCTCTCTTTGTCTCGGTCCTTGTCCCCAACCTCACTTCGATCTCCTGTTGGGGCAGCCGCAGCTTTCACCCGCTCCTTACGCTCCTCTTCCTTTTTCTTCGCCTCCTCTTCTTCTTGTTCTTTCCTCAGCTTCTCGCGTTGTTTCTTCCTTTCTGCTCTGCCGGCTTCCCGCTCTAGAAACTAAAATGAGGAGAGGTGGGAGGCTTGAGTAAAACGTCCGTCGTAGAATTTCAAACAGTAAGAAGTGATTTGGGTCTCACCTGTTCCTCGGTAAGTGGAAGCCAGTAAATGCAAGGAGCTGCTTTAGTTTTGAGGAACAAGTCATCAAGCAGTTTGGCTGGGGGGTCTTCAGCTGTTTACACAGGAAAAAATTTTAAAAACATTAAAAAAACTGCATCAATAAAGTGCCTGTGACATGCTTTTTCTTCGTTTACAAAAAATTAAAGAAAATATTCTAATATTTTAGAAATTTGGCATCATTCATATGATTTTTACCCAGTTTGTCACAAAATGTGCATATTTGTTGCCAAATTTGGTGCAGTCCAAGTGAAACAGGAGGTGATGTCAAAGGGGAAATCTTTAAAAAAAGGGTAACTTCCTGGTCTTTATAAATCTGGCTCTTCTTTARCTATCTGATAATGACTCAAAATAATCTACAGAAACTAGAGATCGACCGATACTGGATTTTGAAGGCCGATACAGATTATTTTGACATCAGTCTAACTGATACACCGATACACGCAAACTATTTTTTTTGCCAGTTTTTTCTTCCTCCATTAACTTGATAAAAATAAGAATGATAAATGTTACACAGGTCTCAATTTAAACAAAAAAGAAACATTTATTAACTGAGCCATGTCCGGTGCAGGCTGAGTTAAGTGCTGCCACACAGAATTTCTTTATTCAGCCATTAAAAAAAGAAAAAAGATTTATTTTATCTAATACTACATATTCTGTTTTTATTCATTTATTAATCAGATTAGTATCTTTTCTTACATAAAATAAAATTACCATGTTTTAATATCCCAGCATTTTTTATGCAAAAACAGGAACACAGAGAAAAGGAGCGACACACACATACATCTTGCTATCTTTGTGAGGACTTCACACACACACACACACATAGCGCTCACAGTCTGTGCCCGTTTTTTTACACCGAGAAAAAAAAGCTTTTAAACCAGCTGAAGTTAAGAACAAGCTTTAAATCGCAGTTTATAACGCACACCAAAGAAAACGTGCATCACGGCTTTTATACTGAGGTCAGACCAAACATGATCTGAGCAGCGTTCGCCTGGTTCACTTGTTCATGGTGGACGGCAGCTCTTTACTTGCTCTTATGAACGTAACAGCGAGAAAACACTGAGAGCTTTTTTTAATTTTAATTCAGCAAGGAGAACAATAAGGGGTCTCTGCAGTAGGTTTTGTCCCATGGACGGAGACGGCCCTCCTTGTGATTGGCAGAGGTTTCAATGTGGGCGGAGACGGCCCAAGAGACGTGATTGGTCAGATTGACGGTGGGGTTTGAGGAGGCTGYAGGCAGRMGGGAGTAGCTTGTTCGAGTCAGGCAGGAAGCAACGTGTTTTTTAAGATTAATTTTAGTCAAAACTTGAGAAAGGAAAGTGCTATCTGCACAAAATTTGAATGTCGTACATATGAAAGGATGTGTAACAATATGGCTCGGTCAAAACATCCCWAATCAGCCTGTAAAAAGATCGCTAAAAATCAATATATTTTTACAGGCTGGTTAGGGATGTTTTYACRGAGCCATATTGTTACACATCCTTTCACATGTAAGAAGTTCAAATTGCGTGCAACTAGCACTTTCCTTTCTCAAGTTATGACTAAAATTAATTAAAAAAAAAAACGTTACTTCCTGCCCAACTCAACCAAACCCCCACTGCCTCAAGCCTCATACCCCACCGAAATCTCTTGGGCCATCTCCGCCCACATCAACATCTCCGCCAATCACGAGCAGGGATGTCTCCGCCCACATTAAGACCCCGGCCAATGACAACACATTCTGCAGAGACCCTTACTTGACAATATAGTTGTTCTTTTATGCCTCCTGTAAGTAGTTCCAGCATTTTTTAAAAGAAAAACAACGTGGACACACTAATTACAGTCCGATGTCAAAGTGAAACTAAAAACTTGGCGCTCCTGTTCAAAAGTGAAACTTAAACACACAGCTGTTCTCTCTACCACTCATAGTCTGAGACAGAGGGCAGAAACAGCTAAATTAGACAGTTAAAACACATTAAAAGTTCATAACTCACCCTTATTGTTGTTGGCACTCTGTCTCACAACATTAGCAGCCGCTCTCTCCCAGGGAGGGGGCGGCAACATGTCCCTGCGTGATCAAAAGAATGGATCGGCCGAACGTATCGGCTGATACCGATACAAGGAAAAAAACGCAAATATTGGCCAAAAACATTGGCCGGCCGATGTATCGGTCGACCACTAACAGAAACATCTGATTCTTTGCGGTCTGTTGTTAGCCGTTGTAACAACTCATTCAGGCATTCCCCTTTGACATCACTTCCTGTTTCTGCTCATGCAAATATCTCAACAACTGTTCATTTCAGTGTCGTGAATTTCTGTTTGAAATTCATCATGAATGTTATCGTTCCAAATATGCACTCAAGTATATCACATAAATTTAATGTCACAGGCACTTTAAATATACAATACATAATCAAACGCTAGGTTTTACCTTTCTTTTCCATCTTCTTCTCCTTGCTCTTCCCTCTCTCCTTGCGTCGTCTCTCTCTGGAGCGCGACCTCCGAGGGCCTCCGTCCTTCTCCTCCCCAGGTTTCCCGAACTCTTTGACTTTGTCACGATCCCACTCCCGCTCCGCTCGAGCCCGCTCTCTACGCTCCATCTCTCGCTCGCGCTCGGCCCACAGCTCTCTGTCGGGGAGGAGGGAGGGCAGCCCTGATGTTCGTCCACGTCCAGGGGTCGGCCCCGCTTCTTCTCCTACGGGTTTGTCTGCTACAATCAAGCCTTTGTGGAAATCCAACTGCAAAGCACAGAAAGACAAATTAGCAGCAGATAGCAGAAGGATTGTGGGCATAAAAAACAGCGTGGTAAAATCTCACCTCATCCTGCTCACAGAAGTCCACTCGAAGGACTTTTGGGTTGCTTTGAGGCCATTTAACTCCATGAAGAGCTGCTCGTGTAGCCACTGCCTCCTCTATACACGAGTACTACACGCAGAAACAACAACAAAAAACTTTCTGTGGTCAAAAGTAGCGTGGCTCAAGGTAGCAGTTGTTAAATAAACATTTGTAATAACTCACAGTAACATAACAATGGGATTTGATTTTATCAATCCAGAAGCCATCCTCCACCAGAGTCCCTGTTCTGCTGAGAAGCTCCTTGAGCTGTCCGAGTGTGAACGGCCTCACCTGAACAAAAACATTACATAATGCTTATCAAGTGTCAAAAAACTAGGCTGTGACAAAATAAATGTTATTTTACTCAGTATTTCTCTCTCTGACAACATCAACTGATGGATTAAAAACACTGGTTGAGATACATAACAGAAATTAAGAATAAAAGAAGAAATCATTTTAACAGTTTTTGCTTATCTGAGGTGAGTGAGTAGAAAAATGCAGTTGTGTTTACTGTGTTATGGACCAGTTGCTTCAAGCCAGTGAACCTCAGACTGTTTACTAAGACAACAAAGATGCTACTAATGGTCTGTTTAGGTTTTATAAAATGGCATTTTCCATCAGAGGTTTCTATGTTGGCTTATGTTGACCAACCAGACAAAATCAAACTCATTTAATAAGAACATTTTTTTAAATTTTAGAATATCTAATCTGATTAATTCAAGAGAGAAGAATAAATAAAAACAGATGAAGATGCAAAGTCAAAACATGAACTTATTTTCCCTCTATATTTGGGTGAATACAGCTCTAAATGTGCCCTAGAGCTGCAACACCACTATTCACCCTAGTTCTTTAAATAGTAAAAACCATGATACCTAATTAGGATATGCTTTAATATGATCAGCTGACATGTCACACCACTATAAATGTGTGTCTAAATTGTAATTCAAACAGAAGTTCATTAATATGCAGCCAGTGGTCAGAAATGCTTGTTAGCATTATAAAGAGCATTTACAAACATAACAGCAGGTTCTAGACTTGGCTGATAATATAAAATTAAACAATATTGTCTGCATAAATAAACTGTGATCCTGCGATGTGGACCTCTACATTAATTAGAAATAAACTTGATAGAAATATAAACAATAGAAGACAGTGTTCGCAGCCCAATAAAGAACAAGATGAAACCCAGGTTATGATGACTTTCTGTCAAATCTGGCATTTAGAGACAACATTTTGTGCAAACACGTATCTTCACTGAAATCTGACCACCTGCCTTCACTTCTGGCACACATCTGTATCTTGTAAGATCAAAACCCTTTTTAAACTGTTCTGCTTTAGATCACTTTGGAGCCACTTACACTTCACACCAGGATGACTCATAACTGAAAATATTATGACCCAGTTGTTTACCTATCAGTTTGGTTCTCTGGTTTCTTCTTGCTTTAAACGAATCAATGAGACCTCAAGCTTCTGCCTAAACTATTTCACAAAGAATATGGCACCATAGATAAAGTTTGCAAAGTAAACAAACCAGACTATAAGAACAATACAGATGAAACGAAAGTAGAGTGGTGTGGCCATAACATAGTCTGCCACARTCTGCAAAAATAAAAGCATATCAGAAAGAAGACCCTATAACAGGGATGGTCAATTCTGGTCCTGGAGGTCCGCAGCCCTGCACGTTTTACTTGTTTCTCTACTCTAACACACCTGATTTGTTTTTCAGGCCTCTGCAGAACTTGGATGAGGTAATTCATAGGGGTGCATCGATACAGAAAATTCATGATTTGGTTTGGTTCGATACTTTAGTCTCACGGTTCGATATTTTTTTTAGATAAAAAAAAGAGAAATTTCCATGTCCTTTTTAACTTGAATTTATTTAAATTATGAACATTTGTTTAACCTCAAAAGTACAGTTTTTAAATTAAATGTTGCTGAAACAGCAAGTTTCTCAGTGGATCTGCGCTCAAATATGCAGCCTAGGTGGAGTAGTTGAACACAGATCCACTGATCCTTTAACATAGAGCACCTTCAGAAGACAAGCTGATAAAGTAAATTTTTTAAATCTGTATTGTTCCATACAAGTGTGTATTGAACCTAAAGCACTGTTCGATGCGGTTCAATACGGGTACATGTATTGTAGCACCCCTAGTAATTCATTAACTCTGCAACATGCGGCTCTGGAACACATGTGGCTCTTTGGTCCCTCTGCAGTGGCTCTTTGAAAATGTGACCAAACATAACTTTATCTGTTTTTTTTTACTCACAACAGAAATAAATTTGTATGTGATCAATACTACTAATACAAAAAGTAAAACATGTTAGCTCATGCTAACCTGTTGTTTACTTAAATACTCCATTTTCTTTCTATGATCTCTCTCAAATCCATCACAATTAACTTTAAAGAATTTGAAGACTACATAATATTAAGAATTAGAAAATAAATACGCCTGAATAATTCAGTTGTACTAGTTTTTATGGAATTCGGTACAAATTATATACAGTATTTTTCTTGTTTACATGAATATGGTATTTTTATTTGCCCTGATGTGTATAATAATAAATAATAATATAATAATAACAATATTCCTTTAGTTTTATAATGTCTCCTCCACTGACCATAAAAGTTCCCAAAAAGGTCTCGAAAAGGCCCGCAGACCACAAGTTTATAATCACAGTTGAAGCTTGTTTTGTGGCTCTGGACACATTTTATTAGTGAGACAAGGAGCACAAACGGCTCCTTTGATCGTAAAGGTTGCAGACCCCTGCACTAACTGAATCAGGTGTGTTAGAGAAGGGAAAAAGTAAAACTTGCAGGGCTGTGGATCTCGAGGACCAGGATTGACTATCCCTGCCCTATAACAACCGTCAAACATGTTGACTGAGTGATGATTTGAYCTTGTTTTGCAGCTACATCTCAGCATTTTGCAGTCACTGATTTGACAAACTGCTCTGCATTCTGGAGTCAAATGTGGCGCCATCAGTCCAACAGCTAAAGATTAAACTCAAATAAAGTTGCAATGCATAAAACYTCACTAAAAACATATTCTGCACTTTGTAAAATTTCTGTACTTAGTATCAATCAGAGGTATGTCTTCTACAAGGATGAAGGGATACAAACAAAAACTAGATGTTTCCATTTTTGCTGCACAACTGCAGTACTGTTACAGTAACAAACAGCTGCAATGAAAAAGAAATTATATTTCTTTTCGTTTTTCAAAGCTCTCTCACCAGGTTGCAGACGTGAACAATATTGGAGACTTTGCCTCGAGGRGGTGAAGGCTGCCGGCTCGTACGAACAGGGTCATCGATGGTGATGGAAACACCCGTTTTCTGCTGCTTGATGGAGCGACGAATGAGGGTTTCGCTGGGCGTCACTACAACAAAGAACAACAACCAACAACTTTTTTCCTTTATGCTCTCCTAAAAATATTGTTTTGCAACACWTTTATTGTAAAAATAAACACAAGATTTATGCTAAAATCAACAAACTTATCATGGACATATTGCAACAGAGTTTTAATACAAGACTGTGGAGAACATATTACCAGTGCCAATTTCAACGTCTTGGTTTAGTTGAGGTGGAGACTGAGCTTCCAAAGCTTCAGGGATGGACGTGTCCATCTGCTCTTCATGGACCTTTATTCTTTCTTGCTCCAACTGTGAATCCTCCTCTTCAAACTCTTCAGTCCTGCTTCTCTTTGCCTCTTGCTGTCCATTCTCCTCAGTATGCACCACCTTAAGATAGATGGAGTTCATCAACATACAGTTAGGTCCATATCTATTTGGACATTGTTTTTTTTTAACCTGTTTGTTTACTGAAACATATTCACATCATAAGTATATAATGGACATGGAGATAAAGTCCTGAGTTTCAGCTTTCATTTGAGGGTATCCACATTAAAATTGGATGAAGAGTTTCTGGAGTTCAGCTCCTTAARGTGRCTACCTTGCTTTTAAAAAGACYAAAAATAATTGGACATTTGACTCAGACTATGTCATGGGCAGTTGTGTGCAATTCTTTCGCTGTCATTCTCAATTAAGCAGATAAAAGGCCCGGAGTTGGTTTGAGGTGTGGTGCWTGCATTTGGAAGATTTTGCTGTCAAGAAGCCATGCGGTCATGGAGAGATGCAGAGAAAACTGCATGAAAGTAAATACAGAGAGTTCACTGCACAGTGCAAGCCACTCATGAGCCTCAAGAATATAAAGGCTAGACTGGACTTGGCTAAAAAACATCTAAAAAAGCAGCASAGTTCTGGAAGAACATTTTTTTGAAAAGATGAACCCAAGACCAACCTCTCCCAGAATGACTGAAAAAAAAAAGTATGGTGAAGGCATGGTACAGCTCATGATCCAAAGCTACCACATCATCTGTAAAACACAGCAGAGCAGTGTGATGGCTTGGGCATGACTGCTAGTGGCACTGGGTCACTAGTGTTTACTGATGATGTGACACAGGACAGACGCAGCCCAATGAATTCTGAGGTATTCAGAGCCATACTGTGTGCTCAGATTGGCCAAATGCAGCCAAACTGATTGGTCATTGTTACAGATGGACAAAGACCCAAAACATAAAGCCAAAGCAACCCAGGAGTTTATTAAAGCAAAGGAGTGGAATATTCTTGAATGGCCAAGTCAGTCACCTGATCTCAACCCAATTGAGCATTTCACTTGTTAAAGACTAAACTTCAGACAGAAAGGCCCACAAACAAACAGCAACTGAAAACTGCTGCAGTGAAGGCTGGCAGAGCATTAAAAAGGAGGAAACACAGCGTCTGGTGATGTCCATGCGTTCAAGACTTCAGGCAGTCATTGCCAACAAAGGGTTTTCAACCAAGTACTACAAATTAACATTTTAATTACAATTATTTAATTTGTCCAATTACTTTTGAGCCTCTGAAATGAAGGGATTGTGTTTAAAAAATGCTCTAGTTCTTCACATTTCTTTGCAATCACTTGTTCAACCCACTGAGTTAAAGCTGAGAGTCTGAACTTCAACTGCTGAAAACATTTGTTCAAAACTAATCATGGTAATGTACAGAACCCAAAATTAGTAATATGTTGTCTGCGTCCAAATAGATGTGGACRTTAATGTATCATCAATTGAGAATAATAACTTTAGATTTTCTCTAAGATTAAAAAAAAAATCTTGTAATAATTCATTTAATGAGAGTATGGGCTGAGAAAATAACCTGTGTGACCGTGCGTCGGATCTGAAGGTTCTGGTCAGAACCCTCATGCTCTTCGTCCTCAGCCCCAGATAGAGCAGGTTCCTCAGGATGAAGATCKACTACTGCCTCCTGGCCCAGGGATGGCTTGATATCAGGAATCAAAGACTGAGGGTAAAGAATGTGGAAACACACTAGAATGTCATGGCTCCACTGTTTGTGACAACAGAAAATAATTTTCAAGTGCAACCATGCATCATCTTCAAACCACATGAATTACTGTCATTTGGCTTTTTCCTTCTTGTAATGYTTGTTACACATTTCCATTTAGTCAAACTCCAGCATGCACAGGAGTATTATTAACAACCAGATTTATTTTAATCTGTTGTCAATACCTTAAGTGAATCAGTGGTGATGCTGATGGAGGGTTTCTTGGCAGTGACAGCTGTGCTGGAGCCCCATCTTCTCTTGCGGCCAACAGGTGCAGACTCCTGTTCACCCTCTCCACTGCCGGGGGATGATTTAGTGCCTGTAGTGTCATATTAAAYAATCGGGACTTGTAATATCACAGAAACAATTCAGTAGTTCTCAAACTGAACAAGACCCATAAAAATGGTGTGAGCACTCCTATTTTTAACTTTATTTTCATATTTAGGCTAAGAAATTATAGGCAGAACTAATGTTTACATGTTGTTAGAAAGTGAATCCATGCATGAAATGGATAGAAGTGTTTTATCTCTTTAATAGAGTAAAATGTATATAGTATGGAGGAGATGTCACCTTAAAARAGGGCTATTCAACTGGCGGCCCGCGAGTGACCAAAGTTCAGCCCACCAATTGGTTTATTCATCTCTTAAGCCCAAACKCCCMGTTTTCTACTTTAATTACTCTAAGTTATTTTAGTTCAACGTACACATGTTTGGTATTTACAGAAACGTCAGAATCTTGGCTAGAAGCTGGTAAAAACCATTTCTATGAACACTCAAGACAGTTAAAACTACAAGCAGTTTAAGATAAAATGATGACAGTGAAAATAAAATTATTTTAAAAATTTGGCAAGTCAGAGATGTCAAAATATTATTTGTGTCTAATAATAGGAGGCATAATGTGTTCCTTTTGTTTTTGATAATGTGTAATTATCACTACTTTTATAGGGTTCTGTATGTTGTATTCATGATTAAATGCAGCAAAATACACTAATTCAAAGGTAAGATATCTTTGTAATACTTGGTTTATTTACATTATGACTTTAATTGCTGGATGTTCGGCCCCTCAGCTGTTGACCGGCAGTAACTGTGYCCCCCGGAGCAATTTAGTTGAATAGCCCTGCCTTAAAACAGGGGCAAACTGTGAGAGATGTAGATCTGAGTGGGACACTCAACGTATGGGATGGTTGATAAGTGACTGATATGAGACTGATWTAAGAGTAAGGACAGAAACTTGTGTGTCTGTAAACTATTGACAGCTAAAAGTATGAAGCTTAAGAAAAGTAATATTACAGGTTTGAAACATTTTATCCCAGTCAAGCAAGCCACTCAAGTTATAAATACTGCCAAGATRACCAGAAAACAGAAGATTCACTTTTGTATACAGGATCAATGGAGAGTAAAACATCAAGACACAAAAACTGTGATAAAATTCAATCAGCCCCCACTAACAGAGAAACTCAATATTTCTTATTTCTGCTCACATTTTTGATTTTGGAAAAAACTGAACTGTACTGTTCTTTTTAAAGTTGTAAAAGAGAAGTAGACTCATTGCAGCTTTTAATACTGTGAGAATATTGAGCTCCTTTATATTTTTTGATTGAGGGGTTTTTGTGCACCGACAATGGCACGTCAGAGTCTGCTTTTATTATTCTGGTAAAATTCTGCTATTTTTTTAATAAATAAAAATACTCAAATAATCAATTTAGATGCAAAATYTCAAAAATTAAGCAACATTTCTGAGTATGACAACAAATTTGGAAGAATTGTGTAAATTCTAAGTATTATTTTTTACACCTCCCATAAAATTTGAGTCACTTTGTTTTAATCTTGTTGAGTTGACGGGGACCAGAAAAATGTTCTTCCTTTACATCAAGTGTGGCATGAAAAGTTTGAGAGCCACTGAATCAAATTTATAAATGATGAGAAAATGTGTAAATATTTGCATTTTTTTGCTGTTTATTTTACAACGTGCATTATAAACCATGTGATTAATTTAGATGCTTAATACATTGACATGGATAAGTCACGTCATCTAAACAACTATAAATATATTTCAGAAATAAACAAAAACACCAAGTCAAACTTAGAAGGTGTACTTACTGCCGAGTGAGATCTTACGTGCTGAGAAAACCTTTGGTACCTGAAAGAGAAAAAAAAACAAAAACAACCCAGAACACATGGGAAAGGTGAGAGACGAACATTGTGAGAGGAAACAAGTGATTAAAGGTTGGGCTCAAAAAAAAGGGAGAGCAAAAACTATGAGAGGAACAATTAGGAACTGAGAATGAAAGGCAAACTGCTGTGAAAGATCTCTGTCTAAAATTGATGCCATCTGATGGAACCAAACAGTATTTTGGTCAAAATTTGACAACCTCAAGATTGGATACTCCAGTCTCGTGAATATAAATATATTAACTGCTTGGGAACGTTTATCTCAACATGAACTGTCTTTTGTTTAATAATAAAATAAAAAAATGTTCTGTTTATGCTTAAACACCTCTACTACAGCCATTCTCAACGGAGTTCAAATAAAATATTTTTAAATTTGTATAAATACTTTAATTCTCAGCTTATCTTTTCAACAACCTTTCTCTTGCAAGAACTACAATCTGACAAAATATTCAGTAATAATAATAATGAACAATATAAAGCAAAATCTACTTATTTCCTAAAACTACTGACACCTGATCCTTACTGGGTTGGGTATGGCACAATCACGGCTGCACGTACAGAATCTAGGCAACAAGMGTCCAATCACTGGTGGCTGAGATGTTTGGATGGAAAACTGAAAACTTGGCTGGCAGGACAGGTTTGATTTGTTCTCTCACCCAAAGGCTTTCACCCAGAGCAGTCATTCTTTCAGCACGTCTTTTGAAAGAGGAGTTGGGCTCATTAACAGAAAGAAACGACCAAAGTCCACCATGATGATGTTGATTTCAACAGTCACTGAACACGAATCCAAAGTTTTGATTTAAATGTTTAGTTATTTGGCAGTCACAAAGGAAAACTCTGGTTTAAGAAGAAACGAGTACCAGGTCCTTCAGTTTGAGTTCAAAAGGAACGATCCAGCCACTGCTTTTCAGAAGGTTAAAAAAGGTATCCAAGAAAACCAACTGTTGGTGTTTCCAAAACCTGAACAAAGTCCAAATGTCCTTTCAAGAATGTTCCAGTTAATAATCCAGTGTCCATATTTTGTTCTGAATGTTGTGAGGAAAAAAAGGGTCAAAAACACAACCCTTTAACTTGARGTAAACAGACTTCTTTGGTTGTGTTGTCTATTCCGATTAAAAAGGCAGAGGTGTATAATATCAGATTTTAATAGAAAACATTAGGCCATAAGAGGTGGCTAATGCTGACGGGCCAATCTCCTCTTTTAATGTTCCGGTCCAATAAATAGCTCTGGTCAGCCATTCTGATGAACATGGGGCAGCCTTTGTACTCCTCTGTAGTGCAGCCCTGGGGGCTTAGCTGTGGTCAGCTCTGGGTTCTCGGGGACAGTGGAACAGGTGCAGGTGTAGCAGTAGTTGTGTGCAGGTACCGATATGGGCAATAGAAGAAGCATGAGCACCTTCACAACAAAGCAATCATTTGAAATTTAAACATCAGCCCCAGTGAAAAACTACCCCAACAAAGGTTTTACAAAGCCAGATCAAAAATGCATTTAACTACACTTTATACTGCACTCACTACATATTGGGCTTAAATATCTATTAGACAATAAATTTTAAATGCAAATTTAAAAAAGGATTCTATTACTTGTCAAAGCCTATAATGGTGTAGGATGATCACCATCACTTAAAAAAGTTCTAATACATTCAAAAATGTTCTTCCTGACAGTTTTGACAACCAAGACATTTTGTGATTCCTCAGGGTCCTTACCTCCTCACCAGTCCCTGAAAGCTTTTCTGGGTCAGTCGTGACAGCCTCTTTCATCTGCCTGTATTTTGTAACAAAAAAGAAGATATTAAGAAAACAAAACAAAACAAAAAAAAAACATCATTATTGCTTGGGTTCAACTCTCTGACTATGCTTTATTGGATAAACAAATATTAACTTGGCATAAGCAACCATACACAGAACATTAAACATTTAAAAAATATTACAAAGATGTGAAATAAATAAGTATTGAGATCCAAAAGTTGCTAAAAATATGCAATGATTTCTTTCCTCCTTCGACTCATTCTTTTCACTGAACATGGCTCTCCTCTGAATACTTTACCAATAAAACAATCAAAACTCATTACCACGTCCTAAATTGAAAATGAACGTGCTTCTTAACTGAGCCACCAAATCCACTGAAACACAGCAGCTACATTACTAAGAATAACAAATAATACACAAAAAGACCCACATCTCCACCACACAGGCTTCAAGGTGGCCTAATCAATCACCTGATTAGGAATTCAARAGTTAATCATTTCTGCTTTACACCTTAGTTTTTCTAAATATAAAGCAGTGTGAATTTATTTAATGGGCATGTTTTATATGGTCGAACCAGCTTCTGACATCATGCTAATAATTACCACATATCCATGGTAATTTAATTTCAAGAGTATTAATGGCAACACACGTTTTCCAAATACTTACAAATCTTTTAAATAATTGTTTAAAACCAAATGTATTTTACAAAACTTGGTTTTATATTTTGATGTTTTCATGTGCATGTTCATAAATAGAGGTTTCCTGTTTTGGAGTTTTCGTCCCCGGGCCGGTTCAAATCCCGGCCCAGGGACCTTTCTGGGTAGAGTTTGTATGTTCTCCCCGTGCATGCATGGGTTCTCTCCGGGTACTCCGGCTTCCTCCCACAGACCAAAAACATGACTGTTAGGTTAARTGATAACTCTAAATTGTACCTAGGTGTGAGTGAGAGAGTGAATTGTTGTTTGTCTCTAAGTGTGGCCCTGTGATGGACTTGTGACCTGTCCAGGGTGTACCCCACCCCTCGCACTGTGACTGCTGGATATGGGCACCAGTGACCCATGTGACCCTGAAAGGAATAAGCATGTACAGAAAATGGATGGATGTTTTGGAGTTTATTTTATAGTACTTTAGTTCAGTGGTTCCCAACCTTTTCAGACTTGTGTACTACCTGAGCCATTTTGCCATACGACTAGTAACCCCTCAGTAAAACGTAACGACGATTCTCCAAAATTATAATGTACAACAACTGATTGTTAAATGAAAACTATTTATGTAACCCCAGAACTAGAACATTTAATTCCCATGCATTTTATTTTTTTCAGCTCAAATTAAACAAAGATAAATATGCTGCCTAGAAAGTYATAAAAGTAATTGAATAAATAAACCAGATAATAGCAGGTGAAGGAAGCAGCAGCAGCATCCAAAATACAGTGGGGAGAACAAGTATTTGATACACTGTTGATTTTTCAGGTTTTCCCACTTGCAAAGCTTGTAGATGACTGTAATTTTTATCATAGGTACTCTTCAACTGTGAGTGATGGAATCTAAAATAAAAATCCAGAAAAATACAATGTATGATTTTTAAATAATTAATTTCCATTTTATTGTGTGAAATATTTGATGATTTATCAACCAGTAAGAATTTTGGCTCTCACAGACACACACTCAGACTCCAGCATCTCCACAATGCCCAAGACAACAGAGCTGTGTAAGGACATCAGGGATAAAATTGTAGACCTGCACAAGGCTGGGATGGGCTACAGGACAATAGGCAAGCAGCTTGGTGAGAAGGCAACAACAGTTGGTGCAATTATTAGAAAATGGAAGAAATACAAAATAACAGAAAATCTCCCTCGGTCTGGGGCGCCATGCAAGATCTCACCTCGTGGAGCATCATTGATCTTGAGGAAGGTGAGGAATGAGCCCAGAACTACACGGCAGGACCTGGTCAATGACCTGAATAGAGCTGGGACCACAGTCTCAAAGAAAACAATCAGTAACACTACGCCGTCAAGGATTAAAATCCTGCAGTGCACGCAAGGTGCCCTTCCTCAAGCCAACGCATGTCAAAGCCCGTCTGATGTTTGCAAATGACCATCTGAATGATCCAGAGGAGGAATGGGAGAAGGTCATGTGGTCTGATGAGACAAAAATAGAACTTTTTGGTTTAAACTCCACTCGTCATGTTTGGAGGACGAAGAATGATGAGTACAACCCCAAGAACACCATCCCAACCGTGAAGCATGGRGGTGGAAACATCATTCTTTGGGGATGCTTTTCTGCAAAGGGGACAGGATGACTGCACCATATTGTGGGAAGGATGGATGGGGCCATGCATCGTGAGATTTTGGCCAACAACCTCCTTCCCTCAGTAAGAGCACTGAAGATGGGTCGTGGCTGGGTCTTCCAGCATGATAACGACCCAAAACACACAGCCAGGGCAACTAAAGAGTGGCTCCGTAGGAAACATCTTAAGGTCCTGGAGTGGCCTAGCCGGTCTCCAGACCTGAATCCAATAGAAAATCTTTGGAGGGAGCTTAAAGTCCGTGTGGCCCAGCGACAGCCCCGAAACCTGAAGGCTCTGGAGGAGATCTGTATGGAGGAGTGGGCCAAAATCCCTGCTGCAGTGTGTGCAAACCTGGTCAAGAACTACAGGAAACGTCTGATCTCTGTAATTGCAAACAAAGGTTTCTGAACCAAATATTAAGTTTCATTTGTCTGGTGTATCAAAGACTTATTTCACACAATAAAATGGAAATTAATTATTTAAAAATCATACGTTGTATTTTTTCTGGATTTTTGTTTTAGATTCCATCACTCACAGTTGAAGAGTACCTATGATAAAAATTACAGTCATCTACAAGCTTTGCAAGTGGGAAAACCTGAAAAATCAACAGTGTATCAAATACTTGTTCTCCCCACTGTATATCAGAAACTTGCTCAAATAAGCAAATTCTGTTTTATACAGGATTCCATTTTGTTTTGTCAACTATGTGATTCTGTCTGCATTTTCTGCATTGCAGAAATCATTGGGTCATATACCAGTTCTATTTTTATTTTATTTTTTTACACAACTGGGAATTTTTTTCATGTACCCCTTGTTATATGCTCACGCACCACTAGGAGTACACATACTCCTGGTTGGGAATCACTGCTTTAGTTAACCCACTCAAAAAAGAAGCCGATTAGCATTGGTATTTTCAACAAATTTCCAAAACAAAAGTCTGAATAAGTTCATCTGGACCAAAGACTTTCTGGTTTAGCTTTAATATGATAAGGTCAAACAGTACTTTCAACAAAACTGAAAAATTAAAATGCAAGTTTAATATAAAGCTTTCGTGATTTTTTTTATAGTCCTATAACATATGTCAAATCAAACAAAGGTTTTCTTTTATAATCTATTGGTAAACTGTTTCATTTGAACCAGCAACTCAAACTTAAATATTCCTAACAGTAACACTTTTCACATCTTATAAAGTATTAATTAAGAAGGCATTAACCTTGTAAGAGTTGTTTACTTGAAACAAAAACACGAGCACACTGAAAAAGATGCAGCATAGTAGAGATTATCTGTAGCCTGCTGCTACTGATTCTATGGAAAAAACACTGAAGAGAAAAAGGATAATTTAATCTGAATAAAAAAAAACTGTATAACAATCACTACATATGTTTTCTTGGATCAAAATGAAACAAAAAGCTGATTTATTTCAGAAAAAAACATTCTAATGTAGAAACAATTCTATGAGTTTATATGAACAACCAGATGTTTCAGCTTTTGGAATAAAACTTGTGAAAAGCTTACTGATGTGAGAAAAGTCAATTCGATGACATACAGAGTAAACTGGAGAATTTTTCAGGTCAATTTCAGACCTCAAACCAACACATCTCCTGACCGATCAGATCCCAGGTGACAGATACTGTATTAGTAGTAATATTCTCACCTGTCAGTAAAATAGTGATTAAATGTGAGAAGATTTCAGTTACACCTGCTTTACATGCAAACAAACAGAGCCTGCATACAACAATCTGTCACCTAAAGTCACCTAATCACCTTTTAAAAACTGTTCTAACAACTATTTAACTTTCAGTACTGAGAGTCTGCTGCTGTAACAAACCAATTTCCTTCAGGGGATCAATAAAGTATCTTTCTATTATATTCTATTCTGAACTATATCACATTTCTGACAGCTCAGTGGCAGATTGTCAGCTGTTCTCTACACAACGTTGCTGCAAATGCAGGTGATGCTGAAATGGGTGCACTTATGACATCTCATTGGAAAATTCAGATTTTTTTCATTAGCAGTAAATGACAGTATTTTAGAATAAAGTGGCCAGAGTGGGTGCTCGACTGACAACCCTAAAAAAATCATTGCACAGTACAGGAAACTCACCCATGAAGGGATGTTAGTCCAATAAAGATTTTGCATTGGCAGTGGTCAAAAAAATGTCAGATTTTTAAAGTTTTTTTATATTGTCTGCTATGACACCTTAGCTGACAACAAATATAAACTGAATATCAACATTACTTTGTTTCAGTCCTTTTAAAGTAGCTGATTTTACMTTCCTGGCTTACGACAGTGGTTCAAAACACTTATTTGTTTCATCTAAAAAAAAAAAAGGTGCAGGCAGACGTAACGTTTAGATGTTGTTGCCTGAGACACCATCTTCCCACATCTGTGTCCTGTGTGAAATGACTGAGGGGGTCAGAGCTGATCCACCACTGTTACATCCCGGAGTCAGGAAGTGAGACAATCAGAGCCCAGCTGGCAAGTATGTGTGAAATGCGAACAACACTCCCTTCCAACAAACGGCACTCCTGTCTTTTTGCTGCTTCTGCGATGCCGACCTTAAGTTTGCGAGCACACATCATCACGGGACTTGGCAGGCCAGTTGGTTCGTGTGTCACGAAAGGGGGGATTTGAGAGGGGACTGTTCTTGGTGCCACYCTGTGGATTATATATAGTGTGAAAAGGGCTATTTCAAGGCAAAATGCGACATACTCCTCACTCCTCATAT